AGCCGATTACAAGTTTCCACAGATATATTAACAGTTAACCTTTAATTAGAACTCTACAAACATTACTCAAGAAAAAACTCAATAAGAAAAAATCTTACTTAGGGCGCGTTCCCACTATGTCGTCACGTTTTATTATCGTTGGACGACTGTCGTGTCTAGCCTGTTCCCATATCACGATTATCTGTCGTGGACGATATTTTATCGTTGAACGACAGTCGTGACTAGCTGTTCCCACTAGATCGTGACGACAATAGGAGCTGCGACAATCTGTCGTCACGTTTTTATCGTGACGTTTGACACTGTGATGACAGTTTGTCGTTGTAACGACAAAAAATCGTGAACGACAGTTAATCGTGTCGTGCTATATGTGAAGAACTTCATTTAAATATACAAGTCACGACACTGTAAACTGCACGACAATATGTCGTCACGACATAGTGGGAACGCGCCCTTAGTAGTACAAAAAGTTGATCTGGAGAAGTATTAAAAAAGTCAATATCGTGCTGCTTCGCTATTTTGTTATAACATTCACTCGCTCGAATGAAGAAGGAATTTCGTCTATAGTTTACTTTCGCCAAAGGAACAAGAAGTATGTTCGAGTGTCGAAGTGAAGCCACTGGAACTCGTAAACCATAGGAAGCTCAGGACATTCGACCAAGCTACTTCGGCCTATCCGCCTTCTTTCGTGTAACAGCAGTATATGAAACTTTTGGCGCGATACGGTAGCTAATCGTCTATCTTTAAACACACGCTCGACTTTAAGCAGCTATGCAAACGCGCGACTGCATCGATACAAACGTGCGATTGCATCGATGCAATCGCCTATATATCACAAGTGTAGCGATGCAATCACGCGTTTGTATCGTTGTTATCGCGCGTTTGCATCGATGCAATCGCCTATAAATCACAAGTGTATCGATAGCTGCTAAAAGTCGCCGTGTGTAACCATTCTTAGTCCTAAACTACAAATAGCGCATAGCGTAAAACATTTCTGAATTCTCTCAATTTGCGAATGGTATATTTTATAACACGTAGAAGAGAAGCGTATTCTACATGACTGCGAACATAAGCACAGTAAAGGTTAAGTTAAGAGTAGAAATCGTGTGACATACGCATTATAAAACCAAGCTTTAGATGGTATATTATGGTCCACACCAGGGACCTCGAAGTTGCGTTTTTTGAATGACATTAGGTATGAATTCATTTGTTCTTTGATCATACGGCATTGCAGTTGAGATTTATTATTCTTGACTTTTCTGTAAAGTATGGCCAATATAAATGGTTTAGATGAAGTTCTGTCTCACCGTTATGATAGCATTCTTTACCAATTGTTAGCAGGTAATTATTTTTCAGCCCAGATAAGATTACTTTATCGGTTTCCATTTTTTAGTTTACCAAACTATATTTACATATTTCTACATTTTACATTATAGAAGGTAAGTAGGTACTAGAGATGCCACGAATAGTGATTTGGCCGAATAATGTTCGGCGTAAGATCTGTGCATTTCACACGCGACCTGTTAGTGATGGGCGTAACAAACCGTATATAGTTATTGAATATTATCGTGTATTTTAAAAACTATATATTTATTTTATTTTTATTATTTTTTATTTATTTTATTTATTTATATATATATATTTATATAGCGTATTTTAAATCGTATTCTTTCCAAACTATATACCGATTTTGCTTCGTATCAAATATTCACTGAGTGGATATCAACGTGAAACCGCTTTTTGTGCATCTTCGAAACTGTATACTGTATGAAGGGAAGTCAATTTTTTTATGGAAACGCGTTCCCACCCAATTGTGGGCGATACGATTTAATCAAACGGCAACGTATATCCAATAATAAATAGTTTCGAAATCTGATTCCGAATATCAGTAACGGCAATGCATCAACGCAGCGCACACGCCGGCTGCATCCATAAATATACAGTTTCAGAAAATATATAGTTTCGAAATCCGATTTCTAATATCCATATACAGTTTCGATTAGATATTCAGAAAAAGCTATATTACCCATACCTACGACCTGTTACGACTTGTCTCAATGCGCTGCGTGCGGATGTAACGGGGTGGTGTTTTTGTTGAAAAATGATAAAACGATAGAAGAGTTTCTGGGCCGGTTTTGAAGAAGTCGCTACAGATAATATGCAAAATGATGAGGATGCAGAGAATTGTTCTATTGCACTTGAGATTGATTAATATTTTTTGAAAACTGTTCGCATAGATCGGATGGCAGATCCTTACAAGTGGTGGTCAGCAAATTCAAAACAGTATCCTGTCAAAATTTGCTAAGATTTATCTATCGTCTCCTGGCGGTAGCGTTTTAGTGAGAGGCTATTTTCAGAAGCAGGAATTGTTTATGAGGAACTTCTTCTTTCTTCATTGTCCTCTCTTCCTCACTGGCGTAATAACGCGATAAGCTGAACGAAATAGAATATAGTTCACGAAGTTGTTAGAGCTTATGAACGGTATCAGCTAGTGCGGCTTATCTGTTGTATTTCAATAGGGTAATAAAAACAAAAAACTCCTGTTTTTATGAAAAAAAAATAACCGGAATAAACGGTTTTGATACACTCTTATACGTCCAAGGTGTAGTGTAGTGTCCACCTACTTATTTTATGTATTTTTTCACAGAATTGTAAATAATGTCTCCATTGCAATTTCTTACGTTAGTTGTAATTTTTATGTAAATATATTTTAGTATAATAGTTACACTGTCATTCGGAGCTTTAAATAGTAAAGATTTGTCGGGCATTGCTACTGTGCCCGTCACCCTGACCATAAATTGACAGGTCCCATGTGCCTGTAATTTTACCAGCACCACTACCCTTCAAAACCGGAACATAGATCACATTACCGCTTGGCGGCAAAGGTAAGGTGCAGGGTGATCCTATGTGGCAGGATTGGCCCTTCGTTTTACTTTTGGCAGGTTCGGTTGACGTTTTATGACATTGGCAGGATGTGGCAGCAATATGATCAAAGGGACTAGCACGATAGGGTGCGATTTGCGCGAGAGCGACATACAGCGCGAGATACTGCTATTTCTTGCATAGAGAATACCAATATCTCGCGCAAATCGCGCCCTGTCGTGGCAGATTTGGCAGTGTATCGTAACGTATCGTGATCACAGCCTTAAAAAAAATTTTTTCTGAAGCAGGGCACTACTTATATGGTGACTGCGATTCATTCGAATCTAGCAAAAAATTATGATAAAACAAATGTCAAAGAATATGTATAAAGAAACAGAAGAATATGTTACAAATAAATATATATAATTTGTATCGTAATTTAAACTTGTTATTTTAATATAATATAATGCAAAATGCCTTTTTATCTGTGTTACTAATGAAAGCATTATTTTGGCATTTTCTGCATTAAAAGTGTGGCAGGATTTGTCGGTTTTCTTGCTATACTAAGGCAGGATCTCTGATTTCAACATGGTCCCACTAGTAAGTACCTTCCAGGACGAGCTCTTTAACAAGGAGCTCTACTGCTACCAAATTATTATTATTATTCTCCTATGAGAAGAATCAGCCCAAATATTTCGCGAACTATACTAAATGTAATTAATTTGCGTTAATATCGTTAGTAGATATTGTCGCGATATTTTCATCAATGGGATAGGTACAGGTACATGCTGCTTGTGATAAGACCCGGTCTACAGGGTTATACTTGATGTGCTTGTGAATGGAGGTTGTCTTGTGAGACACCAACATTGACAAATTAAATAAATGAGTTTTATTTTTTCATTGGCTTTCTTTGGTGTGGGTGAGGAACATGATCTGCTAGTAAGTAGGTAGGTACCGTAGAGATCACGTATCGGTATCTGCATCTTCTTGTGCTCACGGCCGTTAGTCTACCACACACTCTATTTTCGTCTTACATGCTATTCTAAATTGGCATTCTAGTCTTATTATAGTAAAAAATACTCTATTTCAAAAATATAAATGGTTCCATTTTCGTGTATCACAATACCTACCTACGTATTAGAAGGTTACTTGGTGGTACCGCGAATAAGCATTTCGTAGAAATGATGACGGTCTTCAGTTAGGTATAAGATGAATGGTGTCTAGTGTACAGAAAGAAACATATATTATTATTGTTTTAGAGCGTCCTTTATTCGGTACGGACTGTCAGCTGATGTGACACTGTGGTTTCGTAAATGTGAATTACGTAATTAGATTTAATGTTTACCTTTATACTACAAAATAATTTAGATTTATCTCTAAAAGTACTTGTTTTTCGCACCTTTCTATGAAATATCTTGTTATTTTATAATTGTTTTTGTGACCGTCTTCATACCTACTAAATTGACTCAACGTTTTTTCTAGCCTTGGTCCGTTGATCGTTAGCACCCGATTTACAGTCATAGAGCCCGCTACAGCGGGTTTAATCACGAAGTATAAGTTTATTAGTTACCGCGTGGTATTATGTTTTAATTAGGTACTTGGCATTATGTTTGAACCATAATATAATAATTCTTTATCATGAAGAGAGAAATATAAAAAGGAAGCTCCGACAGTAATATGTATTATGTTTAGATAATTACTCATTCTGTACATAGATACCTACATTAAAATAATATATACTTATTTAAGGATATAATTTGTAATTTACGTACTGTCTGTTGGTTCCTGTTTTTAACCGACTTCAAAAAAGGAGGAGGTTCTCAATTCGACTGTTTTTTTATTATGTTACGCGATAACTCTATTTTTGTGAACTTTGTGAACCGATTTTGATGATTCTTTTTTGGTATGAAGAGGGTACCTCAGTAGTGGTTCCATTTAATTTTGAAGAAAATATTCCTTCCTAAGGGTCGCAAAATAGGGGACAAATGACTTTTGAGGTCGGTTTTTAGTACTCTACTGAGTTTATAAAGGTGTCATTTGGGCAACCACAGACATATATTTGTTATTATGCAATTAAGATGTTGGTGTTGTGTAATTACTTTGTGAAATACTTATTAAGTGGAAATTTCAAAATTCCTTACCTGTATAAAACTTTTAAAAAGGTTCCAAAGCCGCGGCAAGTTGCAACTTCTCCGGTGTAAGTTACGGTCATTTTGTTTTAATATTACCGAATATAAAATGTAAAAGCACAGCTACATTTACAATTGGAATGATTAGTATTTTAAAAAAATAATATATAATAGCTATAATTTATTAAGACAACGTCTAGCGGCTTGATTTTTTGCCATTCTATCACACTGACTCACTGCACGGCACGTTTATGGAATAAAACCACATGCGTATATTCAATGGTTCAAGTAAATTTAATTTAACGTTTACACAGATCTTCCCCAAATACTTTTAACTTCATAAAACATTTTAACGCTACACATAATTTACACAATGCGGACCACAAGCACACAACCTACACCTCTGCACTGCACTGTGTTGAACGAATGAATCGCCGGCACAAGCGGACCAATCAACTAATCAAACAACAACCGATCTTAACCGAACCCGTCGAATCACCGAACGCAACACGAAGCGACACTTATTTATTATTTTAATTGTGGAGCTTTGGCTATAGAGCCCATCAGCCTAGACAAGTAACAATTAAGTGAAATTCAAAACGAAATGAAATTGATATGTGAAAAAACTGTAACTACAAAAACCCGCCAATACTTTTTTCTTCATCTCTTCCGAAGCGCCTCTATGCGAAAGAGCCAACGAGAAATAACAAATTTATTTGATATAATATTATAAAGGCCTTAGGGTTGACTTTTTGGCTGATAACCAGTGAGTGAATGATTTTATTTATGTTTAGCGCCCAATGATATTTATGTTCAGCACTCAATTATCTTTTTTGTTTGATCATTGTTAGCCTCTCTGCTGTGTCTATCCAGAACTCTAGAAATCTATCTCACTAGAAATCATACTCAAGTCCTTGCCATTAGGGTCATATTTCCAGTGCTTGAAATCATACTCAAGTCTTGACTCGAGCAGACTTGAGTATGATTTCAAGCACTGGAAATACGGTTATATGGTTTACATACTCAAATCCTGACTTGAGCATTGAGTAGAGTTCTAGAATACGACCCTTAGTCTATACGAATTTCAAACATGGTAATATTGAAGCACGACACCCTTGGAGGTATAGCATAGCTCTAGCTCTAGCTACGGTTCAGAATTAGTATGTAGAAAGTATGGAGAGTAAAATAGTACAGAATAACTAATGTGATGTCAGTCGCGCTGGGTAATTTTCCGAAAAATTGCAAATAGTGATAATTTTACTGGAAATATTCCCGAAAATTTTGAAAAATTTGTGAAACAGGATAAATATAATTTCGATGGCTCATATTATGTTCTACGTTTAAAAATATTGCTAGATTTTAAATAATATTTTTAGATTTGAAACGATTTTACTACAGTAAAAAAAGTTATTTTTAATGGTTACATCACTACAGCTGCATCAAATTTAAAAACATTCCTCCAAGCTCTAGAAGGCGCAACGTTCCAAGCCAAACTCGTATCTCTATCTGCATCGGGCAAAGATGAACATTGTCTGTGGAAAATTGTTAAAGGCTATAAGAAACCCCAACCAGTCCGTGCCCCAATAAAAAACAGTAATAAGCAAGAAGTGAAGAAGAGAGAGCAAACGCATTTGGCATACATCTAAGGCAGGGCTTTACTGCAAATGTATCTGTAAATGAAGATTGGGAAAAAGAAGTTGAAGATTTCTTGAATTCTGATATCCAATTAACCTTACCAATTACAGCTTTCACACCAAAAGACGTTGCTACGCGTATTAGACATCTTGACAGTCAAAAAACTCCGGGCTACGACTTAATAACTCCGCTAATATTGAAAAAGTTGCCGCGTAGTGGCATTGTTTTCTTAACCATGATATTCAATAATATTTTAAGAGTGGGATACTTTCCATTACAGTGGAAGATGTCCCAAATAGTTATGGTACCTAAACCGGGAAAGAATCCTGTTGAAATTACATCTTATAGACCAATTAGCTTACTCCCTGTGCTGTCTAAAATTTGAAAGGATGCTGGTCGATAGAATGAGACCTATAATTGAATGCAGGAATCTAATTTCAAATCACCAGTTCGGTTTTCGAAGAAACCACTCTACCGTTGAACAAGTTCACAGAGTGGCAAATCAAATACGAAAATCTATGGAAGAAAAGCAGTATTACTCGGCGGTTTTCCTTGATATTCAGCAAGCATTCGATAAGGTGTGGCATGCAGGCCTGCTTTTAAAGCGGAAAAAAAAACCTCATACTTAATATGTCATACTCAAATCGTACTTGAAAAATAGGATGTTCTTCGTGCAATATGGAGAAGCACTATCTCAGATCCACGTCATTCAGGCAGGGGTGCCTCAGGGCTCAGTATTGGGACCGATTTTGTACACATTGTTTACATCGGATCTACCAGAAACTAATGAAGAGCGACATATGCAGACGATACCGCAGTACTTACCCGTGACATAAAACCCCAAATTGCATCGCGTAAACTACAAGTTCAAGTTGATAAACTAGACCTGTGGCTCTCAAAATGGAAGATCAAAGCCAGTGCTTCAAAATCTCAACACATAACGTTTACACTTAGAAAAGGAAACTGCCCTGATGTAAAAATGAACAACCAGACCTTACCTTATGTTAATACCGTTAAGTATCTGGGAGTGTATCTGGACAGAAGACTAACATGGAAAGATCACATCAAAGCAAAACGGGATATATTGAACAACAAATTCAGATCTATGCTGTGGGTAATGGATAGAAAGTCAAGGTTATCAGTCGAGAATGAGCTATTGTTCTATAAGTCGGTATTAATACGGATATGGACATAAGCATTGGAATTTTGGGGATCAGCCAGCACTTCTAATGTGGAAATTCTTCAGCGCTTCCAAAATGGTGTACTAAAGACTATAGTCCCTTTATAGTGACTATAATCACCTTGGTTTGAAAGAGCCCAGGAAATACATGACTATCTTGAAATGCCAACCATTAAACAGGAGATACTGGCACGTAAAGAAAAGTATAAATCCCGATTATCACTACATACAAATGTATTGGCAAGATCTCTGGTTGACGAAAAGCATCTAGGTGGCTTGAGGCGTTTGAAAAGTCAAGACTATTGGAAAGTTGAACCAGTAAAACACAATCAGCCATTTAATGATTAAGGAAGAAAAGAGTCACAGGACTCTTTATTCCAAACGACATATACCGATCTGTTTATGGTTCAAGGACTGATAGCAGATGGATATAAAATTAAAAAAAAAAGACTACATCGTTTTCGTTCAGTAAGTTCAACTTTTGACAGGTATCAATGTTAGATATGGAAATTTAAAGGAAGAATATGGGAAATATAAAAGTAAATATTTATTTTTCTCAAAAATATGATTTATTCAAAATGGAAACTTTTTCTTGACCAACACTAGTCGCGCTATAAAAACACTGATATCTCTCGTTTAGCAAAGCTGACGTGACGTTAAAATCCCGTTCCTGCACCATTATGCTCAATTTAAATCTAGACTTTAGTTTCACCTGCAGGCTGTCAATTTTCTCTCGAAAATCTCGAGTCTTTGATAGTTCGAACAAGAGATAACTTTTGTCTTCGGGCTCATGCTAAGCCTGCTGGTGTGGGTGACAGATAGTGTCTGCCTTTGGGCTAACTACCCTTTTCTTTTGAAGTACTTTTAAACTAAAATCCTTTGATAATAGTTCCTGGGAAATCCAGTTTTTAACCTTAACCAATAGACTAATTTACATACCTGAGCATCGTAGGAATACAATTGTATTTTTTTATATAATTGTATTAATCATAAACACGACATAAATCGCATGTAGTGAGCATGACCGAAGTGTGCGTCTAAAAACATGTTATACTTGTTCATAAATTATTATTATTATATCGTAACTTAGTTTACTGAATAATTCTTAGTACTCAGCACTGGAAATTATTTAAGTTTAATTTTGTTTATGTTGAGTGTTATGATTTGATAAATTATGTTATGTATTTCTCCGATATCGTAAATAAAAAAATGATCTTACCGTACTTCCCTTAGAGGATGGAAAAAAATAAAAGTCTAAGGTCTTCCTATTTATTTTCGTTCCATTCATTCATTCATACAATGGCGGAGAAAATGCCAAAATGGCTGGTTTTCGTTGTCGTATTGAAGTATTCGTAGAAATATATTGAAATCTTGTAACTTTGAGGCACGGCCTATCTTCATTACTGGTCGATAAATGTATATCGTATTTAAAATAAGTCAAGCGTTGCTGTTACAATGAGTGAAACCATCATGAGTGATGTAGTGCCGACCACAATGGAGACTGAGAAGCCGGTTTCAGCTGCTACTAACGTAGAATTCCCGGTCTTCCCAGGTACAGACAGTAGTGTACAGTTGTGGAGCATTCGTGTCCTGCTTCTCACTTTACACTTGATACGTAAATATCTGCCTGGTTTAACTACAACTTTTCAACATATTTCAGAACCTACAGATGCTGATTTCGATGAAGATCTGCCACAAAAGGAAAAGGATTATTATAAATCTAAATTTCCAGGTGAATTTTACTTATTTTGGTTTGCTGGCTTTTTTATTACCAATTCTCGATATACATATAAACTATAGGTATGTGTAATGAGTAACGAAATTCAATTTTGCAGATTTGAATGTGCTGAAGACCATGAGATTGCATTGTACATCTTGTGATCGTCATTTAGGAAACTCTGCGAGGAATGAGACACGCATGCGATCGCATCCATTGCTCCGCACCCTTGTCTGTAACACATGTCACACTTTTTACAATAGTGGAGAATTTGATAAAGGGGAAGATGGTTCCGAGCTGTACTGTCGGTGGTGCGGACAGGGGGGGCAAGTTTACTGCTGCTCTAATTGCCCTCATGTATTTTGTGCGGTAAATATTATATAATATACAAATCATATTTGGCACAACACCTATGCTATTATTCTGTGGCCCATATTAATACAACATACATTAATATTATATTAACATACAGGGTGTCCCAAAACTCAACGGTAACCTGGGAACAGGATGTTACCTAGTTTGTGACAACCCAGAAAAAAAAATGTCTAAAAACTGAGAGTAATTTTTTTTGTGATATTTTACTTTAATGAAAAATGTTGAAAATGTACCACCTGTACACCATTTTTAAGTACTACAATTACAAATTTGCTAATTTTGCATAAATTATTCTTTTGTGCTGAAACTTTAGTAATTCGGGCTTTCCTTGGCATTATGTTCATTAGCTGGGCTATTTGAATTACTGTTACAAAAACTATAACACCAAAATTTACACATTACATTAGTACATTTTCAACATTTTCATTATCACAAAAACAAAATGGTCTGATTTTTAAAATATTTTTTTCTGGGTTGTTACTAACTAGGCAACATCCTATTCCCGGGTTATCGTTGAGTTATTATATAGCACTGTATATTAATCTAAATTTCAAGCAAGAACAATTAGTATTCATAGTTTATGCATCATTTGAGACTTGTTAAGTTTCTGCTTATTATACAGTGTTTTTTAACTGAGACAGTATGGGGCAATCTGAAAGTAAAGGAGATACAGGGAAACAGTCCTAGGAACCATTAAATCTTTTTTTTTTAAGAAAACTTTTGGCATAGTAAATTTTTTGTTCATGCGTGAGTAGCCCTAAAAATTAATATAATTGATAATCATTTTTTTGCCATTGATTGATTCAGTTTCATGTAAGGATCATTTCACTGTATTGGAAGGAAAAAATCGGAACGTAGAAGCTGGACAAATTTTATAAAATATTTTTCATACAAAATTAATAAAATTTACTGAACTTTTTTTAGTGCTGATAGACTTACTTTTACATAAGGATCTTTTTTTTTGTATTGGAATAAATAAAACCAGGACAGAAGAAGATGGTCAAATTTAATAAAAATATAGTGCTTTCAAAAAAAGACTTAATGTTTCAGGTTGGTGTATACCCTATGGTTCAGATTTACCCATATTGTCCCAGTTAAAAAAAAACACTGTTTGGGTCACTCAGCACTCAAGATGATTATCGTTAAGCTTATTGCCTTTAGTAGGAATGGTGTATAGGGCTGTTAATAATATAGGTCTTATATTCAATAGATAAATTTAAGATGATGTTTATGCCCTTGTTTTGATTTTCATATATACGGAGTATAAGGGTTATGTAGACCATATATGAGAAATTGAGGTCTTCAAACAAGCACTGTGAAAACATGTTTGATTTTTAATATTTAAGAATTTATTACTTTCTCTCCAAAACAAATTTGTTCTAACACTACAATTGTGCGTGTTGTGGTGCGCAATATGATGGGCAACTACACAATTGTCTCAAAATATGTGCAGTGAAGGTCAAACTAATTGTAGTCTATAACAAAACAATTACAACATACTAAAAGTTATATTCTGTTAGTATTAAGAGCCATTACTTTAGTGGGTTTACATTGGGCATGCTTTGGGTAGTTCCATTATTTGTACCTAAGCAAAGCGATTATGGTCTATGGTATAGGCGACTATTTCCTGTTATTGGTCGTCAGTTCTTAAATGCGGCGAAAATTATAATGGTGCTAACCGCGCTAATCCTATTTTCGACTTTTCAATCGTAATATGTTACATAGCTTTGGCACATAGAACAATTTCGTAATATTTTCTATTACTTAGTCATTTTCACGAAATACCATAAAAATCACAACAGTTTACAAGACGTGTGTACATCTATCACACCTTAATCGGTATGGAATTAATAAAGCTTCTGAAAGCAAATGAAATAACAGCAAACTGCAATAAACTTTTAGTAGCTGTAGAGCTCTTCCTGAAAGAATTTGTCCAGGAAAGTATTGTCACTACACCTACTTCTACCGTAGTATAATAAGACAAGTAGTAATTCCATACAAATGTAGCAGCCGGGCTTGTAAGTGTGTACGCCCGCTGCACGCCGCGTAAGGGTGCACACATTCGCATAATCTCGCGGTGCACATTAACACAGCGCGGGTCGCACGCACGATTCATTGTCATTGTAGATAGTTGAAAAAATTTTTCTACGTCATATTTATAATTTTATTCTCTTTAAATGTATCGTGTACATACAAAATCGCATTTCATTTCTATTTGATTTGATTTCTATGATCATACTCCCATAATCGAAACTTATCTGCGATACCAGTTATTTCAATATAGCACGTGAATACTGTGATGAATACCTTACTCTATTTTGCAACCTGTAGGTATAACTAAATTAATAATGTGGAATCCCTACAGTGCGAGTGACGTGTAGGCATTGACGAGCTGGACGGGCGGGAGTTTCACTACTCTTGTGTACTATAACATCTATCGTCAAGGAATAATGTGAGCACTACTGTGTTCGACTTTTAAAGGGTAATGGTAGTTTTCCACTGGCGAGGCATTGTACGCGGATAGGTTCTAAAACTTAGAATCAAATATGAGATGACCTACCTGAATGTGGAAAATATTAAAGAGTGGACAATAGCCTGCAAAAACTATAATATATGGAGGGAATATTTGTGCATTTTTATAAGGTGGCCGCCATACAAATTTCAGTCTTCTATAACGGAAACTATTAGAGATAGGTAAGAGGTACTGGAAGGAATGTCATAGAGGGTAACAATGGTCAACTGCCTGTGTCAAAAAAATTCAAGATGGAAAATTCAAAATTGGTGAAGAAAAACTTGGTTCGATCCGGTTGAAACTTGGCATGCGGGGGTCTTTAGGAGTCCCTTAATCATAATTTGGAGTAAAAAGTTTTTCCCCAGTTTTTAAATGGCCGCCATATAAGCGTTTTTTTTTCGTTAAATATAGCTGCCGAAAGAGACTAGCTCTGATTAGACTAAAAATAGGCATGTGGAGGCCTACAGTACTGCCGGATAATAATTTGTGATCAAAATAAAAAATAAGTGTTTCGCCATTTTCAAACATGGCCGCCATAGAAGCGTACTTTGACGGCAGATAAAAATTTGCTCTAATCGCTTTGAAAATTGACATGTGGGGTCTGTGAGAGTACTTGATAATAATTTGTGATCAACAATAGTTTATCGGCATTTTTCAATATGATCGTCGTACAAGCGTCATTGGTGGCAGATAGAAATTGGCTCTAACCCGACTGAAATTCGTGTAATTTTTGTATTTATTTTAAAGTAAAAGTCAAATAATATTTATTCATAGGCAAACAAATTATGAAATTACACTTGAAATCATCACATTGATTAAACTCTACTGTTCATTCGTTAAGCAGAAGAATGAGCTAGAAAGGTCGATCGACAATGTCGAGGTAATCTGTAGGCACCCGATCGATATTGTCTATCGACATTAACGATCGACAATGTCGAGCAAATCTGTAGGCATCTTAAGCACGCGCTCAAAGAGGTGAAAATAACGTTGTCCGCCGTGTGCAGTCATACGGAACTGAACGCGCTAGGATTGTACAAGGATTGTAATGTAAATGAAAGACTTGTCTGAGACTTTGAAATTGCAATTATTTTTTTAGTATTATGTAATAATAATTTATTTAAGAAAAGAAAGTACATGTACAAGCTAATTGATCTACAGCAATTCAAAATTATTAGGATTGTACATACAATAATATATATATTTTTTCCTTATCTAAATTTGCTTGATGTTTTTTACTGTAGCGTATTGCATAAATAATTTTACCAAATAATTTTTGTAATTATTCACCCATCCATTTAACAATAATTACGCAATAACGACAACACCCTCGGCGCTTGCACTGCCGGCAATACACTTACCGGTAGGCACATAACGCGAAACCTCGACCGAGTAACGGAGCCCTGCTATAGTTTTAAACCTCGTGAATGGCAAATTTTGAATATCAACCGGAATCTGTCATCTGAATAGAAGCGTATACATTGCCCCTTAAAAGAATTTGTAACTTTGTGGAGACGACTGTCAAAAACTATTATTACACTACTATTTATTATTGTTATGTGTACTAATTCCTCCAAATCTTAGCTGCACTGGTAATTTTCCCTTTCCTTTTTGGTTTTCTAACTTTTTACTTTGATGTTGACAGAATATTTTTTTTTATAATATCAAGTGACGGGACGAACAATTCATGCGCGCCTGATGGTAAGCTACACGCCTATCTATAACAGTTGCAGCGACACTCAGAGCTTTAAATCGCAAAGATCTGAGAGGTGACAAGTCTCATGTGCCTGTAATGTGGCCAGCACTCTTACCCTTCAAAACCGAAACACAGTCATGCTGACATTACTGCTTGGCGGCAGAAATACGTAAGGTAGCAGTACTACCCTGGACGAACTCTTTCACAAGAAGCTCTACTCCTACTTCTATTCTCGTACCATTTGGTAAAAAAAATTAAAAACGCCTAGCACTAGAGGATTGTAAATGTATCATATTTCAATATGATAATGCCAAACCTAGCACACCTTACAGAGCCGTCAAAAATGATTGCAGGGGTTGGGATGTGCTACCTCATCCACCGTATTCGCCGGACGTATGTTAGATTTTAACTAATTTCGGTATTTACAAAATTCTTGGAATGAAATACGCCTTTGATAAAAAAAGGAGGCGGTTCTCAATTCGACTGCATGTTTTTTTGTATATATGTTACGCGATAACTCCGGTATTGGGAACCGATTGTCATGATTCTTTTTTTGTTGGAAAGAGGATACCTCCATAGTGGTCCCATTTAATTTTGAAGAAAATCATCCACCTCTAAGGATGGCTGTTCACGCATGAAGATTTATATTTATAAATAGCGCCTAAATTTTATAATTAGGAGCAATTATTTAAATGTTTGATTTTGCTATTCTCCAATTTAAGGCGTTTTTCTCTCTCAATGTAGTTTGAGTAGTGACATCCGATTTTTATTACCTCCTGTGTCAAGTCCCGTATAGTGGCGAATTAGGGGATGCATCCGGGTTTGCGCACTTTCCGGTAACAGATTTCGATAAAACTTGGTAATTATATGTAATTCAACGTACTTTTGAGGTCTGTTTTTTTAGTATTCTGTACTGAGAATATTTTTAATTTATACTTTTATATCGCAAGGACTGTTTGACCGACCCCACTACATTTACATACATCTCTACTTGTACATAAAACACACGTATAAACATAATAGGTGCGTAAATTTAGTAGTTCCTGTGTGAAACATTTTTTTTTGCACCGATACATTAAGAGCTGTAACTTTTCATTTATATGTTTACAAACTCCAAGATTTGTAATAAATTGTTTTACTACTGCTAGAACTTGGAATACTGCATTTGCATATGCGCAATATAACCAACTGCACGCGCATAAAAAAACTGATACGTTTTTGACGCCGATCAGTACATTCACTGGTAGTGTTGTGCAAATCGGATTAAATTTTTGTGTAGCGATATTAACTATTACGTTTAAGTTACGTACCAAAAAATAGTGATATACCGTTTTCGCTACACCACGTTTAATAGGATTAATCTCACTCATTCATAATTTTTATTCCTACATGAACAACAAGCGCTTGTGGTACTGGCTGATTGTTGTTGATTTAGTGTTATTTGCATTTCGCTAACTTGAAAGACATTAACATAACTACATATTTTTGATTACAGAAATGTATCAAACGGAATTTTGGTATGCCTAAGATCAAGGAAATTGAGAACACTGATGACTGGAAATGTTTTAAATGCGATCCCGAATGCTTGTGGGATCTTCGTTCACTGTGCTGGGCATTGCTGCGTTTCTGTGATCTCAGGAATAAGTAAATGAAACATTTTTTTTTCAAACTATAAAAAACAATAAAGGAGCAAAGGTTATTTGTATATAAGAAATGTTAACTGTTAAAATGCCTATAACACAGCTCTAAATGCTTTAAGAAAAATCGTGAGAATTGCTCTTTTTGCTTGAATGCACTTGAAAATAATGAAAATAAAGTCGAAAGGTGAATAGTAATAGTATAATCATAGCAATGTTTATCTAATGCTCTTTGGTAAAGTTGAAATTTGGAATATTCTGCCATAACCTGCTTAACATAAATGACAAATATGAAGAGTCTACCATAGACAAATATTACAATGTTTGTACTTATGCATTGTGAGAAGCACAATGAAACCTATCATTGAGTTTGTTAATGTTCCTAGACTTTTCTAACAAAGAACATTCAGCTTGATTTAAGATGGTGTAGACGTTCAATGTTTATTAGCGAAAAATCTGTTTTAAATTAGTGTAAGTTGTACTGGTGCTAAATGAGAAGGGCCTGATTTCGATTCCCGGTAGAACCAATTTGGGAAATATACTTTTCTAAATTGGTTCTATTGTGGGTAGTGCCTTTAATTTCGTTGCGCTAGTGATGCAACACCACAGTACAATGAATTTCCAAAACAGGTTATTCGTGATTGTCTGGCACATTATTATTTAAAATCTTACGGTTATATTTTATTTGAATAATGGATGTTCGATGTTTTTTTTGCGTTAATTAATAGTAAACTTCGATTGCACTAAATATTCGGTTTTATCTATGTTTTGTCAGCTTCTATGATACTTTATCATCAGGGAACTGGTATACAAAGTACTCCCTCATGTTTTGATAATCATTTTGTAGAGCATAATTGCAATTTGTTCTTAAAACAGGATAACTTACCACACTAAAGATCCAGAACTTAAAGAACTGTACCAAAAGGAAATCGCTACGGATCATACAGATTGCTGTAAAAATAAAACCAGGCGGAGAGACAAAAAGGATAAAGAAGAGGTCAAGAAAAAAGAACCAGATGATAAAAAGGAAAAGGATATTAAAAAAACTCCAATTCCCATTGCCAATGTGATGACCAAAATTCCTCCAACAATTCAGGTGACTTGTCTTGTCTTTTTATAAAATACTGAAGTTGGTACACCCATTGGGGTTTTTGGTGGAACCCAAAGAGTTATGTACGGGGCTACAATGATATATTTGTTGACTCTATATCAGTAATCAAATTGTATGTGGCACCTTCATAGTCAGTGCCGTGCTCTGTTTTTACAACCACATGCCTCTAAAAGAATATGATACTAATATTCTGGTTTACGTTGAAACAGTTCGTTCACCTAGTGTCCAATGCTGCTGGTGTTAATATTGTTTCACTGACATGCATGTTAATACCCCCGAGAACTTTCAATGGACATAAAAGCAAATTCCCCGGGAATGATTTACAAATTTTTTGTAACGTAATTTAAAAATTCCAGGTTAGAAAATTTGCATCAATTAACCTTGACGAGTCGCCAAAAAATAAAAAGCCACAGAAAAGACCAGGAAGTCCTCAAAATAAACAACCTGTCTTAGTGCCGAATCCTGTGTCACATCAAGGAGCAGGCAGGGTATACCCAAAAGTTATACCTATGCCTGTGAGTATACAAGCACCTAAGAAAATGAAGGTATGATACATATTTCTCTTTGTTTAGCCAGTGACATTGTGATTGTACAATTTGAAATATTATGTAAAACATAAGGCTTACTGCAAAATCCAGGGATTCCTGTTTTTTTTTTCATCCAAGTTTTAAATATAACATTGCAACGTACCATTAGCCTTGATGCAAACAATTTCAAACATTGTAACTTAATAATTTCTTTTTATTTTAGATGCCAACAGGACCTGTTATGTTCAATCCAATAAGGATTCAAAAAGATAAAGTTCAAACCTACGCTCGTATTAGACCGAAACTATTAACACCCGTCAGTGCTCCGCCGCCGCACTTACTTGTAAACAACCAAATGAATGGTTTCAACGCTCATGGGATGTTTAATAATAATATGGTTTTTGGAGATAACATTAATTTGTCACTGGAAAGTTTAACTCAGGTAAAACATTTTTTCGGGAATAATTATTGTCATCGGTGCAGCATAAAATATTTTCATAAAAATATATTTACCTGTTTCTTAGGGTTTGGATATGGCGACTGTAGCGGCTATATCACAAGGTACTCCGCAGGATGATGTAGTATGCACCCCAGACTTTCCTCTGGAGCCCTTATGTGAGGTAAAAAATATTAGAAAAATATATCATAATATGTGATATTTTTAAATTTTTAATGATGATGATCATTAATCAAACCTAATCTGTTAGAATTTCACAATATTCAATTGGTAAATTCTTAATAAGTAAAGTTTTCATTGCAGGTGACTGAAGATAATGCAGATGATGATGTTCAATGCATCACTCCAAATCTTCCTCAGAAAATAAACACCCCGCCGCCGCTGGTTCCTCGTTTACCAAACCTTACAGATATCTCTTCAGACAACATAATACAGATGACAGAAAACGACGTTACCGTTAACGCAGCAACTGGAGGATTGAAATTCCGAGTTGATCCTCAAACTCTGTCTTCTAATAAAATGTATCGTCTTCCTGACGGACGTATTTTCGCCATCAATGCTAATCCTAATATGCCTGGAGGTTATTCTGCTACTATTGTGGCAGTTACCGAAACAAATTCTGGGAAAGTTGCTCCCAAAGGTGCAACATATGCTGCTAAACTTAGTGCAGTTCCAACTCCACAACATAAAATTCACTCACCTTCTACACCTAGAAACAATAGAATTCCAATTGATCAATCATCTAAAAAGAAAATTACCAAGAAAGTTAAACCTAAGAATAACTCCAATTCGTTAAGAAAGTGCGACTTGAATGTACCTGTTGAATGGTATCGATTTAGTTTAATAGATGCTACAGACTCCTTGGAATATTCCTTGTCTAAGTTACAAAAATTAAAGAAAGACGCGACGACTGCACACCTTCGTACTCGCACAGTTGACGAAATGCGAAACCTACACAGGGCGCTGGATCGTTTATTAAACACTTCTGTCGTCAGATTTAATGAAATCCGAGAAAATCTTCATAAAGAAATGAAGAATTACATTGCAAAGAAAACGAATCGACCAAATATAAGCGACGACGATGACGACGATGATGATGTTGAAATCTTAAATGAGTTAGAAGACAATGATGATCCAATTTTCATAGATGAAAATTCAATGGAATCTAACAATGCTACAGGTGTTAATGAAGCTCAAGAGGTTGACTTGACAGAGGTGGAGAGCGAACATAACGATAGTGCAGAAAAATCAACGAAAGACTCTGATACTACAGAGAAAGATCCTCTTTCGAAAACAGTACAAATGGAACGTGATGATGATACATCAAGTACAACTAACGACGAGAGGTCTTCTATCGTAACTGAATTGAAAGAAAACGGCAACGAAAAGAATGACAACAGAAAGGAAAATAAAGATATCAACAATGAAAGTACAATGAATGATGACAACATTCCAAACAATAAGGAATCGGACGATAATATTGCATGTCACATATCTGATGTAGCAAAAATTAATGGTGATTCAATTGACAAGAATGGTGAAAGTGAAAATAGTAGTAAAGACGATACAAATGTTAGCAAAGAAGATGGCGAGCGAGATGTGGGTGATGACGTGGAGTCAGTTAAGGGCAAGAATGTACAAGATTCCAGTAATGAAGACGGGGAAGAAGCGAAAAAGGCTGAAGAATTTAAAGTTAGTGAAAATAAAATGGAAAACATAGACATAAGTGAAGATAAAACTCAGGATGCTGAAATGAGTGATGAGATGATAGAATCTTTATTAAAAGGTGATAGCGGTGGAATAGATGACATTGAGACACAGAATATGAACTGCTTGGAGGATTTCCAGGATAGTTAAGTGCAGTTTGTATTTACAGTAAAGTAAGTTTTAAAATATGTAACTGAATACTTTCTAGGTTAGGTGTAAATGCTGATTAAATGCTGAAATCATTAGTAAATGTTTACCGCTAATGTTATTAATAGATTTATATAAATAAAGAATAATCTTGAAAATTAAAAATGCAATGTTACTTTCTATGAATCTCTAACTTTATCACTGTAAGGCAGCTGGAATCTCTGCGTCTGTTTGATGTTCTTTGTCATACATTTTAGTTTCCAAGAGATTCGGAAGTGACAATGTGTGTAAAAGACTTCGCATATTAAACAAAATTCTGATTTATTTATCTGACTGTTTTTACCACGACAACTCGTCTATGGTTTATATTCTTAATTGCTTTATTTTCGGAAGAAATATAGCTCGATATAGTAATAGAATGAAATAGAATTAAATAATAATTAGTTGTTTGTTTCGTAAAAGTAATTTTATTTGTTTCACAAAATTTAAATGTTAATGTTTTGTTTCCGTTTCTTGATACTATTTGCTGTTGTAAATGTACAGTTTATATTTTTTTAATGCATAAGCTAATTTATCGCTGATGTATTTTTTTTTTGTAAAAGTAATTTTGCATTGTTCTAGCGTTGCCCGTTAACGACGTAAGTACATACTTTTGCTACGTTAATGCTACTGTTAAGATTCTAATTATAAAATATTTTTTTTAAATAAAAATCTGGACAGGACCTTTACACACTTTCCATAACACTTTTTTTTCATTTAATCTAAGTAACAGGTACCTAGTTTCGTTTTGTAATAAATAATAATAGTGGGCATTTGTAACGGACTTTAAATTTGTTTTATTCCTCCTGTTTATAAATACATAGGTCATATTTTTCAATAATTATATTTAATTGTTAGGAACAGCAACATCGCAGCACGCATACGTGCTTGTCTATCATTTCTTTCTATATGCCATTGTTTGTTTTTGATAAGTGTTATAATAGTCCTTCGACTTGAGTTCATATATTTTAAGAATATCAGATTAGAATATATATTTGCTGATGGAGTATATTTTTAATATAACCAGATTTCATTATTGTAATATAAACGGCATATACTAGCAACGTAATTGTATGTATTACGTTTTTAATTTTAAAATCGTAGTTTCCCTACCTGAATACGATTTCAAAGTTAGTTTCAACAATGTAATCTTAAGTAATATTTTTTGCTTAATGCAAAGAAATAAAAAATGTATCATAAATAATCTTGTGTTTTCATACGATTGAAAAAGACTTTGACAGTTATTCTGTTTTAATGAAAATCGATTTATGTTATACAAATGCAAACAATAAGGCAGTATAAACTTACTTAGTCCTTAAATAAAAACTAATTATAAGAAATAAATATAAATTTTCTTCCAAATAAAACATTTATGAAGCACTTATAATATCACATCTCTGTACTTATTCAAAACTTACGAATTAATGACATTGAAAATTTCAAAAATATTCACTTAGCTAAGATAAAAGAAATAGAACAACATAATTTTATTTGTTACTTTGTGACTGAAATTCAATAACGGAAATGTCCTTTTCTTGATCGTTCTTCGTGGTACACTCTCATTGGTGAATAAGATCCATTCGATCCACCGTTCGTGGTGAGTCCTGTGAACAAAGTGTTGTGTAAGTATATTTTGTAATCATTTAATATTTTTAAGATTCGCCATTATAAATATTTAAGATATCTAGTTCCAATAGCGTATATTTTTTATTTAGGGAGTCCACAGACCACACTTATCAAGTGCTTATCACCTTGTTTTACTAAGCCGCTGGGCCGTCAACGCCGCCGTTAAGTCTTCAGTTCGGTACGGATTCATCATATATGATCATCATATTTAACAATAAGCCGATTCGTAATCGGCCTATGTCCAAACAAATCAATGCAAACTTTTGCTGATAAGAGTGGTCTTTAAAATGCAACTAAAATATAGAAAGCTTCATACGGTTTGAGGACTGCTTTGGTGTATTTGTTTGAAATTATAAACATACCTTTGCCATTAAGCTGTCCATCAACAGTGCATGCTTTTGAACAAAGAATAAACATGATATAATCTAAGCACATTAATCACAGTATTAGAAGAGTTGTCGTAGAATCTTCTACCAGAAAATTAGAAACCAAAATAGCAAACCAAGCCAATCATTTAAGGTACTGCCTAGTAGTAGACGAGAAATAATAATTAGTAGGCACAAACACAGAGGTAACTGCCATAAAATATGAACCTTGATATTACTTACGATAGCTAATAATATTTAAACATTGCAGTATACCTTGTAACAAATTATTGGGTGGATGTTGAACAGGCGAAGCACAACGTGGCGCCAGGAGCAAGTGGTAGAGAGCGAGGTAGATAGCAGCGGACAGAAGGGCGACGACACCTAAGGCGCGGTAAACATTACGCGCTGACTCCAAAGACGGTTCTATCCCGACCATACCGCTGATTATTGCTCCAATACAGCGTCCTACAGTCGTACATTAATTTAACCCATTTAAAAGATAAGTACAGAATGAAATGTTAATGCTCAATTTACATTGCCGTGAAACGAAATGTTAGAAGTGATCTTATATACTTACTGAATGGAAGCAAATTTTTCTAACGAAAATAGCACATTGTGCTTTATTCGAGACGGTAGCTGCGGCGGGAATTCCCGAGACTGCGTGAGAATTCTCCGTAGTTTGTACGTTCGTTACACACATTCACCTACCAGCAAACGGACGACGTCGGGTCCGGGCTAAAGAGGAGTGATCGCTCGCGCGTCGCTCTTTATATTGTCATATCATATTACAGTTATCATTTAAAAATGTTATTTTGTCCAGTGGTATTTATAAAAATCAAGAAGCAGCTAGGTAAGTAACTGCCCGTTTCCTACACATTGCATGCGCTAAAATCAAATAGATTTTAATTGTTTGATGTAGTTTAAACATAGATACAGAAAAAAATGAGTTTAGAACAAAAATTCGTCGATTTGATGTTAATCTTTTTTTTAGTCGTCCATTTTGGTAAGATTTTGTTTTTTTATCATATCAAGTGACATGACAAACAGGTCGTGCGCCTGGTGGTAAGCGCCACGCTTACTCAAGACAGTTACATTTTTTTTTATGAATTATATTTTGCAGTTGGCCGCTGATGGTCTTTACTGCGCCACCGGAGAAAAAGGGCGAGCTGAATGCTCATAACCCCTAAAATAAACTTAGAGCTAAGTAGCGGGCGTGAGTGCGCCCAAGTGGGCACGGACATCGGCTCAGGGCGCTACTGGAGACTTCCGCCAGAAGGGCGTGCTGTTGGAGAGAATCTACCAGTGTACGTGCTAAAATGAGGGGCTCTACTATCTCGCCGACGAGGACGGTTGGTGCGTGCGGGACGGGACCGACTAGCGATCTGGTTGGCCTTCAAAGTGGCGAGAGTGATAAGGTCGTCAGAGTCGTTGAGGACTTCCCTTGGCCGACGGGTCCTATTTGCGCGGTGGGCTTGTTCACTGAGGGGGTCGTAAGAAGATGCAGCCACCACGAGGGGGTTGGGTTGGTGAGGAGCAGATTCGAAGTATTTCCTCGATGCCTGTTTCATAAATTGGGCTATTGTGGGGAGCCGTAAATCTATATGGAGGTTAGCGTTGCGCAGGTACCACGGGGCACCTGTCGCGTTGCGCATGAATCTATTTTGGAGAGCCTGCAGGCGGTGTATTAAGGCGGGATTTGCCTGAGCGAATGCGACGCTGGCGTACGTCATGATAGGGCGGATGCAGGTCGTGTACAGTCTCACCTTATTGCGAAGGGAGAGTTTACTATGCTTGTTGAGAAGGGAATGAAGCCGGCTCATAACAAAGTGGGCGCGATCGCGGACGGTTTTCACGTGTGCTTTGAATGACAGCTTCCTATCGAGCGTAACTCCTAAGTATTTGACCGTGTTCACCCAGGGTATTAGGCGGTCAAAGAGCGAGATCGGGGTGAGGTTTTGTACCCTACGACTGGATAGGTTACTTCGCGTGAAGAATACCGCCGCGCTTTTGTCGGGATTGACTTCGATTCTCCATCTGCGAAACCACTCGCCTAGGCGAGTGGTGGCAGATTGGAGAGCCGCGGAAACTAACTTGGAGCTGCGCGCCGAATAGTAGAGCGCAGTGTCATCGGCAAAGAGGGCGAGATTTACTGCCTGATACTTGGGGATGTCGCAAGTGTACAGGGAGAAAAGGAGGGGCGAGAGGACAGAGCCTTGCGGGACTCCAGCTCTTACGGGGTGAGGGGAGGAGAGTGCGCCCTCAACTCGGTAGCGAAAAGAGCGGTTCGACAAGAAGTCACGAATGATGTGCACGAGACGGTCAGGCACGCCGAGATTGTACAGCTTGTAAAGTAAGCCGTTGTGCCAGACTTTGTCGAAAGTTTTTGCCACATCGAAGAAGAGGGCGCCGGTGGGCATGAAGCGGGGGCGATCGAAACCTTCGGAGATGTCAAGACAGTTACAGTGCTGCTCAGAGCTTTAAATCGCTAAGATCTAAGAGGTAACACACATAGACAACGACAAATTACACCCAAACTCCCGAGAGAAATAATTGTAGGCTTTACAGATATTTATTTAAAGTGACCTTTGCGCGGCTGTCAGACATGGTAACCGTTCGGCCACGGAGGCAGTTGAATGAATTGAATGCATGAGTTGACAAATGTAATTTCACCAGCACCCCTTAAAAACCGGAACGCAGCAATTCTCTCATTACCGTTTAACAGCAGAAATAAGTATGGTGGCAATACTTCACTGGACGAAGTCGAGAAATCGATAAAGTTCATTATGCTATGTTACACAAATTCACTTTCATTCCGTTCGGCAATGTAAATTAAGCTTAATTCGTACGAGTATACTTTACCGAGACAGAAGTGTGCTATAACTGGCAGTGCTTGACCTGTAGCTGTGAATTTGCGTGGTACAAGATGTCTGAAGTACAACATAGCTGTCACCCAGACAAGACTAAGCGTGAATACTTCAAGAACCTCGCATACCACTATCCAATTGTAGTTCTCGCTGTAAGCTAAGCCTGCAAAAGTATTCGGAAGTACTGTAAGTTACAGAAATACTGTAATTTATCAATGTATTTATACAATTCCTAAAATTAGTATGAATGAACTCACCAGTATATCGCAAGCAGTAGAAAGTAAAAGCAGTAATGAAAACATTGGAATGGCCGATATAATCCACGACGGCTTCCGCCCACCATAGCGCTGGTATGGCTGGTAAAGCTCCTACGGTCATTGTTAATCCAACTTGTGTCATCGTACCGTTAATGTCTCGAACCGTCCTGTAAGAAAGTTTATAATTTTAAAATTTATTTATCTACAATTGAATTCCTCCTCCTCTGTCGGTCCCTCACTGCTGAGGATCGTGACTTTGAGCAAATACACCGTCAATCAAACTTCTGCACTCTGTCTTTAGCTAAGTGGAATGCAACCCTCACTGGTACTGCCATACTTTCAGCCACCTGCAGCTTGATTTTGATCATTTTTCGGAAACTGCGTCTTTTCCGTATCGAGGCGCATAATTGCGATTCACAACTGGCCGATCGGAAACTTTGACATTTGTAATCGGAACAATAGTTGATTTAACTCACAAATTAGAAAGATATAATAGGAATCAAGTTCATCTTCTCGCTCGGAAACCCATCTGATTTCAAGACTACCCGATCGGTTCGATTTCGATTTGAATCAAAATCAGCATGCTGGTCACACCATCGTTTCGAACTTCGACCCCTAGGTCGTTTGCCCACAATCCTGCCCGTAACAATCATGCTCTTGAGATTATCAGCGCTTCTGCGTGCAATGTGACCGAAGAACTGCAGAATGCGGAGCAAACAGACGGAAGATAAGTTTGTGATTTTGCAATTACAATTGAATTACATTTATAACAATATATCGACGTATGAATATGATTACCAAGGCAAGTAAGCATCGATTCCACCCCACAAAACTCCCAGAAGACCAACGACTGCGAATACGGCAGCGGTTTCTGCGCCATATCGTCGTACAGTATTCATTGGCATTGCTAGAACGCCAGTTGCAGTATGCCACCACCATTCAGGTGTTGATAAAGGCATATTCCTGTAATTAAACAAGTATTTTACTTATAATCTGTATTCTAAGATTGTTTACGTAATTTTGTAGTTAAATATCCCATGAAATCAAATCGTACTTACTTGTCCACCAACAAAATAATGGCTCCAATCAACATAAATACCGCATGCAGAACAAACGGTACGAGGTAGGGATCCTCGAACAATTGCTGTGCTGCTGTTCCAGCTAGCGGTGGGAAAATAGCAAGGCCAATAGTTCCGAAAGCCAGTTGTCTTCCTACGTCGCCTCTACCTAAGGATGTTTCTCGTGTAGCTATGACACACGCAGCACCTAACAACGCTAGCGCTGCCGTTGGCCAAATGTCTGCTAATACCCTGTACGAACAAAAGAAATTGTACATTTACGTAAAATTGTACAGTTGCGCATTAGATATCTAAACATATGTGTATTTTTTATGTGTATGTATATTGATGCTATTTATTATAATTCATTATAATACTTATGTAAGTAATGGTATTTTTTATTTATGTAGTTTATTATATTTCTTTCTCATTCACTCTTGCACGCTATTGCCCGCTTATAACATTAGCTCTCACTGTCCTGCACTGGCTGAAGATACCTCTTAGATATAATTAATTCCCTTTGCTCACTTTCTGTTAAACTAATATTTCTGTTGTATTTATTTGGTGCACTAAAAATATATCATAACGTTAAGAGTTAAAATAATGTACCTGATGACAAAGTAAGTTGTGAACGTAACTGCAGGATCGCCAATTTCTAATAGACATTCGGCGTCGGCTAATACCCCATTGGGTACATCATAAGGGTCGAGAACTTCACAACGTACTGCTGGCCGACAGTAGTTATTTTCCATAACTTTTTCTAAACGACTTTCTGGCAATATACAGTGGGAAGGCCCGTCTGAAAATGGCATTTCAACGCTCAACGTTAAACACATCATACACAACTATTTAGGCAAATCAATACTAATCTCGCGTTAAAAATACCAACCTGTGTAATATGTACACCAATCGGATTGCTCTGTAGAATTTTCGACTGTCTCTGGAGTAACCAAGGAAAGTGGAAGCTTCATTCGTCCATTATGCTGCATGTAGACATTGCACCTTCCGTTATAACATAAGTGCGGTGGATTAAGCTCAAAGACAATATCATTATCCGGATCTTCTTCTTCAACTGGAGCTTGGGTCTGTGATTGAAATTAGAACAATTCCCGTGACAGTGGCAAAAGGTATGACACAGGTAAGTATGATTATGGTGAAATATTTGCACATACCGAAGCATTAGCAACACTATTGTACATGAGGCTGGACGTAGTGGAGGTCGTGGTGGTACTGAAGGGCTTGAACATCCATGTCATATTATCGTCAGCGCAACCATACTCGCAGATACCCACCACTAAATCACCCGTCTGCAAACGTATATGATTGGTTTTAAATATTATTATTTGTCAATGATTACATTTATACTACTACTGTATTTGTTTATATATGTCCCAAATTATGTTGGTTTTCCAAACCTTAGGTCCCTCCCAGGTACTGCAAGTCATAGATTCCGTACAAACTTCTTGCATAACGTATGCTCCTTCTGAATCGCACATGAATAGAACGCGAGGTCGACGGGCCTGTTTAACAAAGTTTAGTTGTAGTGAATCATAATCTTTACAAGAAATATCACAAGTATTTGATGTGTAACATTTTTTAAAGGTATTACAAGACAAAAAGTACCTAACTAATATGATGATGTCTTTCATATAGAAACAAATTTTATTAGTATCTCTTTATTTACCTCATGGCGCTCGGTGTAAGGCACTACTAGAAGTAATGAATAAAATACGGCACTCAATATGAGGCATAATGCTGTGATGATGCGCAGCAATCGTCCAGAACCGCTGGGTCCATTACTGCCACCAGTTGATCCTCGACCGACTGATAATCTGCTCAGAAATGCCACATCAGACTCTACTCTTAAGGCGAGTCTCCCGTGCGAGGAGAATGTTTTGCTAGTCAAATAGTTTATAAATTTACCTATTATTAAATAACGATCTTACAAAAAATATACAATACACCTAAAGATATTTTTACACGATAAGATGTACTTTACCCAATCATATAAAATTAAAACAGGCTGAAATAAAAATCGAAAACGAATTGTGTAAGAATAAAATGTCTAACTTTGCGCATGATGTTTATATGGAGATAAGTAATAAGAGAACCTAAAGAAAGAGAACCCAGCCAAATTTTGGTTTTCAACTCAAGCCCTATAGTTATTAAATTCACATTAATCCCAAAACATGGGTATTGCCCAGCGGATTAACGACATGCTGTGGCGCCAGCTGCGCCGTCAGTCGCTATCGGGCGCTTCTTAACCTCGGATTTGTGTCAAATTTTCTCCGCCTGTTCATATTTTATTTATATTATATTTGTTTTATTGATTTATTTAATAAATGTAGGTATATTTATTACTTATTATAACTAGAATTTTATTTACTTTATGTAAGGACTTACTTATCAATGAGAGGTCCCAGAAGCGCTGGACCAAGTAAAGCTACACATGGAGCAACTGCAGAAATTACACGCGCTTCTCCTCTATCCAAACCCTTCGACAGCATGTGCAAAGGTAGAAACGGGAATATGCACCCCACCCCTATTGAAAACAAGAAAATTCGGTTAATGAGTGGAAAAAACTGAATTAGAAGTGAACTGACATTTTACATTTGTCTTTAAAAAAGTAGGTACTCGTATTCTAATTCAAAAATCGTGCTTGAAGCCTTCATAATTATTATAAGTCTTCATAAATATTATAAGAAAATAAGAACTCTTTAAGTAAAGCCGTTATTGTAAATTGCATACCTATGCGCAATAATCTTGGGCTGTTCAATACGTTTCATAAGTTGCAAGCATATCACTTAAACGACCGCGTTCTAGCAACGTTCAAGAGGTGAACGGTCCCTGTATCATTCGGCACATGTGTTTGCAGACCATACATGGTAACTTGTGGTAATGTTACCAGTGACAGTACTGCACTGGTCTTGATATGAACCACTTTTTATTGCCTCAGCTCAAGATCGATGAAACGAACTATAGTGATTTACTTTGAAGGGTAAAACTGGATATCCACGTCAATTAAAGCTGTTCGAGAGTTGGAATGCTGTTTTCCCATGTTGTAAAGACTCCATAGGATTCGTGTAGAGTAAAAAATAATATAAATTTATATTTTTTTTTACTAAGCAAGTAAAACTATGGCATATTTTTACTATTCGAACTGATTGTGGATTGTGATCGATAATTCGCTTGCAAAGCAGTTATTATGACAAATACTTACCCATTTTTTAGAAGCATATATACATGTATGATGTTAATAATTAAGTAACGGTATCTATTTTTATAACACCACTTTCTAATTATGCTATTTATTAAAATGTGAGTGAAAGTAAATAGTAGACGAAGAGTCAGACCAGTATAGCACGGATGGCACGTGTAAACTATTAACATAGTAATTTAAATAGATAGGCTACACAAGCCAGCTACCCTGGACAGATTGAGAAACAGCTGTCATTGATTTACCTGAGAGAAAACAGAATAGCACGCATTTTAGCGTTATGAGGTTTCTGTTGACTAGTTGCTTCATCTTCTTCGGTTGTCTGCCACGTGTATTCTATCAGTTAAGGCTTTCGTAACATCTTGACCTGAAATAAATGGAAAAATTACGTACTAACATCTCAATTGAAAGTCTACTACAAAACTATTACTGTGTTACTGTTATATATATTACTCCATAGTTTAAAATCTATACAACTTCACGCTCTGCAGAATATTATATTAACGCGCATATAAACGACACATATCTAAAGGGATGAGCCTACACTGCGGTTGTATCGATGAAATCACGTTACAATTAGTGAATGCATTTGCGTTTTGTGATCTGTGAATCGCGGCCATGGCCATTTGTTTACCCGCCCACGTGCGACAGTCGGGCGTAGGTATCTACTTATGAAGTTATGTATCTACATGTGGAACAAAAATAGGCGCGGGTGCCACCAACGACACATCTAATCTATAATAATGTCTTATTGCCTACATACAGCAGTGGCCGAACGCTAAACTAACTCTAGTGGGCTCCACGTTCACCGACACTTCAATAAATTGGTCTATCGCGCCTTCGCCTGGAGGATACCGTTAGTTGTAAATGGGTTTGATTAATTAACTTTGTTATAATTGGTTAAGAAACTTTCGTTTGTTCTTTGTGAGAAACTTTTTGATTGTTTTCTACCATATCACGATGCTAAATGAGCTTTTCTACAAAAAAGTAATATGAAACCCTTAGAATAAATATAAAACAGTTTCGGTGAAAAGCTTGTACCGGTGAAATTCTTTATTGAAAATGTACCTACCCTACGTTATTTATATAGCGTTCCAAATTACAGTTTAAAAAAATGACTTTTGTACATCCTAACCTACAGAGTCCATGTACCGGAATGTATCGGAATCGATCCCATCGGGTAGTCTTGAAATCAGATGGGTTTCTGAGCGAGAAAATGAAGGGACTGATTCCTTTCTGATATCTCTGATATTTCTGATATGTTTCTAATTTGTGAGTTAAATCAACTATTATTCCGATAACAAATGTCAAAAGTTTCCGATCGGCCATTTGCGAATCGAAATTATACGCCTCGACTCGAAAATGACGCAGTTTCCGAGAGGCAATCAAAATCAAGCTGCTGGACAGGAAGAAGAAGAAGACATAAGTAAATTGTGTATTAGGTATCAGTAGGTATTATATCCGCTTCAAGGTAATAGACGAACTGAAAAGCTTAAAAGCTTTTACTATCCGATGACCTAAGTAAATGCTTTGACAATGTTTTCCTTCCAACAACGACAGTGAACAATTTCCGTAGACCCGCGACGTTTTATTAGCGATGATGCAAACGAGTTAAATGGGGCAAACTATAACAACACGCTGAGTTAAATTAGGTTTCCGTGTACCAATTTTTGTTTATGCACCATTCATATAATTTCATTTTGTAATATCCTTGTCAGAATCAACACAATACTAAAATAAATCACGCTGAGGGTGAATAGAACTTCACGGCGGGCTCCGTATTATTCATAGATATAATTAAATAAGGTATTGTGGTATTACTCTAGTCTAGACCATGTGTCACGAAATGTCCTTTTAGTTTAATTTTTTCTCGAAACCTATAACCTATAAGTATTTAAGGAAAACATTTTTATCATAAAATCCTAAAAATATGCAAAATAAAATTTAAAGGAAACTTGTTTTGGAATTTAAACATTGTAAACTGATAGGAAATATGTGCAGGCTATTACATCGTTTTCTAAATAGAGGCTAATGCCGATTGTATCTAGGTTACACTCGGTGTACGCACGTTGTGCGGAGCCGCGATTGCGGCTTTGGTGGGCAAATTGCCAATACAGATAGGAATTTTGGGTAACCTGACATTTGATACCTACTCATTTGGAGTTGTTTTAAAAACTACATGCTTTTAAAAAAGCCGGTGCTTCATTCATGCTTATACCTTTTAAGTACCATCTATATATGTTATTTCTCACTTTATATATTATTATTACTTATCGAGTTTTTAGGTTTTCGCGATTGTTACACATAGGAAATGAAACTATTTTTAGAAAAATAATATTAGAAAAATAGTTTCATTTCCTATTATTATTACTTATTAATATATTATATTATTTAATATACATTATTATTCATTGATAGATTAATATAATTGAAATCTCAATTAAACTTAAAATGTGACAGGGGTGTCACTAAATAACACATTTATTGCCAACTGGAATTGTTACAACTGAGCCATAAAATGCCAATAATAACGCACCCGATCGCGTGTCAAAAAGTTATTAGAGTGCGTGAGGCGGGACAGGGCAGAGGGCACAGTCGATAAGCTTGGGATACTAGACTTATTGCGAAGTGGTATAACACACAACAGAAAGTTATAAGCTCTACTGCACGTGTTAACAACAAAAACCATCATCGGTTGACGAACCGTGATCAACTACCGTGACGAGACAAGCCACGCGGGATATCGTTGCGTTAACACAACCTTTAAGCATCGATAATTTTTTGTACGTACTTTTACACGCTAACATGAATCATGTTGCCTTGAAAGTTATGTACGTATGTACTATTATTATGTAACAAGTAGAGGTAATTCCTTATATTTGCCGAGGACTGTTAATTATTGATTAACTTATACTCTATTGCGACGCTTTTTATAATTCGAGACGTTCGAGGTCGATGGTCCACCAATTCTGTTATATTCAGGATATTGTGTCGAAGCACCTTCTCGCCATTTATTTATTATGAATAACACTAGGTACTTACTATCGTAGCGGTACGCGGCCGGCTAAGCAAATCGATAAAGAAAGCTATGGATGCAAACTGGAACACCTCGATTGAACTCTGGGTCTTGGTGATGGAGACGTATAATGATGCTCGTAGCTAGTGTGTGGCGTGCAATTCGTGTTAATTACTAAGATAACTAGAGTAGTAACCTACTCATAAATCTTAAGACACTTGTATAACAAAAATGAGAGTTTGTTGGAGTGCAATAGAAACAAGTTACCTACAAGGAAAACTGAAATCTAGGACAATGATCACATCGTTCTAACTGGTACTTACATCTATCAATTTCATCTGACCTGACTATGCGTGACAACAGGAATAAGAATGGCCGGGAGTGTGTCGATGTCGTCATCGCTATAATCGGTGAAGGTCTGTCGCCGATCTGTGACCGACGAACGCCTGCGCGATTCAACGTTAGTACTCATTTACTCAATAAAGAGTGATGTAAACAGCCGTTTTAGAATAGATGTGAAGTCGTAAAACTAGCTTTATAGCATTTGTAACTAAACTTATTCTGCCTGACTCTCATTGGCAGAAATAAACTTGTTGCATTACATCTTTAGCACTGAAGTCGGTACCTAGGTAGGCACCTATTCAAGAATAAACTGTGAGTCACTGCATTATAAATACAATTTAGCCTTCCTATTTAAGGTTCCTAATACTTTTTACTCTACCATTTTAAACTTCAGTACACGTCGGATATTCGCCATGGGAATATTATTTACACATTAAACAAAAATGACGCTCGTCTAAAGAATACAAGCCACGTATTTAATTATAAACGTATTTGATTTTGAATAATAAATTTTATACACAGTACACATATACATAATGACTGTAACCTAATAGCTGAAATTAGAACATAATGAGTAATAAAATTGTAACCTTTTGTTAATGTTCAGTTTTGTAGGTATTTACTACGTTCTGTTGCATAAACCGGTCGGCATCAATGAGTTAGGTTTTCATTAATATTTCATTAGTCACGATGCTCATTCTATTGTTCAGCAAATACTTTTTATTTTGGTCCGAGATGCTTTAAGGCCTACCCTACTTTGTAGAGTTACGAGAAAATACAAAACACTCTTATTAAGGAGACAAACATAATAGCAACACGAGCACAGACATAATGAGGGTTGATACGGGGTAAAAAATGGCAAGATGATTTTGCTTTTTCATTGTAATTATATTCTTAGAGGAACTTCACTTTAAAAGAAACAGGGTTCTAGGTACACTGTTCAGATAATAGCGGAAAGGATGAAAAGTACAATCGATTCACATGGTGTGTATTCTCATGAGTAACACGTGGGATTTCACATGGCACAAAACTATAAACCTACACCTTTTACATTAGGGCGCACTATAAGTTTCCGGAACTGGCCACTTACACGAACAATATTTAAAAAGTAATTACAACTTTTGAAAATTAAACTCTTTGGCTGTAGAATACAGTTTGTTTCATCTGACTGTCACTTGTTTTTACATAGTGGCGTCATTTTAGAAATTGGTTATCTACATCACCATATGGATTTAACTCGTGAAAATTTTCGTAGTATGATTTTCTACGACTTTAAGTGTAATTTACCAGGTCAGCGGGGATTCGCTCGGCATCAAACTGCTTTTGGCGATGAAGCATCATACAAGACGACAATTTTTTGTAGCTGGTTTGCAGAATTCAAACGCGGTCGTGTGAATCTCAGTGACGAATTTCGTGTTGGTCACCCGTCCACTGCTGTGAAAAACAAAAACATCGATGCTGTGCGCCGTATGATCAAAACAGACAGGCATGTGACATACCATGACATTCAGGCATCTTTAGGCATAGGCATGAGTCAAATACAATCCATACTACACAAACATTTGGGTTTGAAGGTGTGCTCTCGGTGGATCCTACACAATTTGACTGAGGCTCAAAAAACGGATCGCGTCACTTGGTGCAATGCCATGCTTACCAGATTCAACGAAGGGGCACCAAAATTGGGGTGGGACAGGTGACGAAACATGGATTTATGGTTACGATCCCAAAACAAAGCAGCAATGGGTCTTTCGGGATGAGCCGAAACCAACCAAAGTGACGCGAGTGCAAAAAAAAAAAAAAAAAAAAGTGCCTAAGCGCGGATGATTGCTTCTTTTTTTAATAAAACTGGACACGTGCTACTTTTGCTTTGGAGAATAGTTGTACCGTGAATAATTATTTATACACGACCATTTGCTTGCCGGAAGTTATTGACAAACTCCGTAAAAATAGCCGTAAACGCCATATTATCTTGCACCACGATAATGCCAGCTCTCACACGGCCAGACAGACAAATGAATTTTTGAAGGTGAACAACGTTGACCTTGTGAGCCATCCCGCGTACAGTCCCAACTTGGCACCTTGTGACTTTTATTTATTTCCAAAAATTAAGTACCAGTTACGCCGGAGGAGTGGCTTAAATGTTTTCAAAATGGGTTCATTCGTATGAAAAAGTGCATTAACGCTTACGGAGAATATTTTGAGAAACAATAAATTAATTTCTGACCATTTGTAGTATTTTTTTGTTGTTAATTCCGGAAACTTTGCGCCACACGTATTGCAGTATTTCCATTATGAATTCTACTTTTATTGCTCTTTCATTCCGTTACACATAACAAGTTCGAAAGAATTAGCAATATAAATTAGTTATGGTTTACAAATATTTTAGCTGCCCTTTCCTCCGTATCGTTTTTAGCGATTACAGGGTTGCATTTGTTTGAATATATTGGCAGTTCGTTGAACTCATGTCCTGTCCGGTCGCGAAGCGCGACGGTACGCAGGGGAGAGTGGAGGTGGGCGCGTCTTGGTCCGATAACAGTTGCGCGCCGCGCGCCGCCCGCCGCCCGCCCGCCGCCCGTCCGTCGCCCGTCGCCGTCGCCCGTGCCATGCCGTCACGCTGCGGGCAACTAGGCTGCCACGACATTGTTTTGTTTCTCTTTACGGAAATTTCTTACCCACTTAGAAGAGTTTGCGTTTCGTCTTCTCCTTATTCTTTACTCAAGCACCTGTTTCTATTTTAGTATTGTCTCTATTTTACTATTGTTCCGTCTAGAAAATAGCTTACTGTATATTCTTTAGGCCTTTACCCATGAGTTTACGCTTTAGGTATTGAACGTCATGGTCTTTACCAAATATGACAAAATTATGTTTATCAGAGCAAGCTATGGGTTATTATTTTATTTCGAATTACAGTTAAGTACATGAAACACGAGACCCGTCGACTTTTAAGTCTATAATAATTCCTTTGTTTTCCATAAATGGTGAGTTCCACATATCAGTATCAATGGACTGAGACTGAAAGATTTATTGCGTCGGAGCTCATACACAATAGAAGCTTTCACGCATGCGAAGAAATGGAGGTTGCTCTTTGAATATTCCGAGATATTCTCACTTCTCACTGACCCGGCCATCGTGTTGCGACATTAAGTGCCAACGATAAAGCATTTGATGCAATAGTTATTAATGGCACTGATGATAAGATGAATGAGACAATCTTGTTGAAGCTATTCAGAATTCGATTACAACGCGGCTGTGTACCGCTAAAAGTGAATATATAAAACACGTGTTCGCTATAGCGCGTTCGTTCCCATCGGGTAGAAACCATGCCATCAATCGCCAAACTTTTTATTAATGCCTCGACGGAAGTTGTGCTGTCATTAATTTACAACGTTTATTATTGCTACAATTTATTTTTACTGGCTAATACCAAAAGTGGACTGTATAAATACAGTGCAAAATATAGTTTGAAGAATCGTTTCTTTTTAGGATCGAGGTTTCACTGATTCATACTTTTATCGTATAAAAAGGTAAAAAGTTCCATGATAAACTGGTTGGCCATATGGCTATTACGGGTCCAATTTTGGCTGTGTACGACGAATGTACGACCTTTTCGAGCGAGGAGTGGATTGGAGCAGCTCAACATTAGCATAATTGGAGGCCGTCGGCGGCTGTGGCGGAACCGGTTTACAGCTTCGTGGCATGTGTGTGACGTCATCGTTCACATCATCAACTAAGGGTGTGCTTAAAATATAAATACTGAAACGGCTAGAACGCTTCCACAATAGAATAAGACGAAATTCATGGAATTAATTTACCGCCTCTCCTACTTGTACAATTTAATTCGTTTACTGGTACATTCTTTAAGCAAATAGTTATTTGTTACAGAATATCATTTACGTAAAAAATGGTAAATTGTTATGGTGTATTGGTATGTTGTGAAATAACATTTTGTTGTAGGTATAACACGTCATGCAGGCCACTGGACTCTACCTACACTGATACTACAGACATATGTAGATCTGCAATGATAAATTATAGGTAAACTTAAGTTAAAGCTATCCTACTAATAATTATTACCTTAGGTATATTGTTGGTTATGTACCATCACTACTTACTTACTCTTATAATTGAAAACACTCAGTATACCTGCATATTATGGCCGTGAATGATTTCTGCAAAGGTGTGGTTTCAGACAGGCGGGGTAGCATTCTTTTTAATTAAAATGTCAGTCAGTAAGTGCTGTATTTAGGTCGGCACACCTAGCATGCCCATCCTGCCACCACCTCCTATAGCTATATAACGGTAACAATTCCACCACCCTTCTATAGGTAGTCAGGAATATTTAGTAGACACGAAATCCGGAACATTTGTAACTTCATAAGGCAAAATTGTTATTTGTGTTTCGTGATCGCGCATAGTGAAAACAAACTCATCATTACGTATTATTTTACTGAATAATTATTTATGTGTATTTATAATCCAGATGTCCTTCATACCAAATTACCAAACCTCTACATTGTTTGACGATGAACACTTTACTTTTAACTTGTACCTACCTGAACACTATTCCCATTCAGAAAATGTAAGTAGGTAAAAATAATATTCGATCTTCTTTACGGTACTTAATTATTTTAATATTTCTCAAACTCTTCTGTTTAATTTTATTTATTTCTTAAGTTTTAGTTATAAGGAGATATTGCGAGCCTGGAATTGTTAAGTATCATTTTTTTCAATTTATGGACAGAAGCATTACCTAGGTATCTAGACTTTATGAAACCTCAAATTATAGCGCAAAAATATCAGTTAAATTAAGAAAGACACTATTGAGCGGTCTTTTACAGGTAACTTTTTATGTCTTATTTAGGTAAGCAATTACGTATATACTTAGGTATTGATATTATAAACTTCAATAAGATATTTAATTGGGTAAGTGAAGTACTGCATTGCGAGTATGTACTAAATCTAAACTGCCATTTATGACTAAAACTCTTAATAAGCATATTTTTGGTTTTTATTCTAAGTAGGTTAAAGGTTTTTGTTAATCATTACAAGTACCTATGTTATTTTAAAGCTGGACTCTATCAAACGGTTATGATGAGGTTCTAAGACTTACCTATCAAAATATAAATGGAGAAAACTTTATTTCCCACAGCTGCACATTAAATTGCTCAGTACATAATCCGTTTACAATAATATAAGTGTTTAAAATAAGATCACTTCATAAACTTTTTATTATAAACAACTTTTGCAACTTTTTGAATGCTATTCTGCCACACATGTGCAGGACGTCGTATCCCGCACTTGAACAAGCAAAATACGCTAGAGCGAGTGAAATTGTTCTACTCTAAACGATGAACGCGTTCAACTCTTACAGCGACAAAAAATAAACTCGCGCACGCGACCTGCAAGCCACGATCACAAGCCGGCAAGCAAGCGAGTCGAAATAGCGACGAGAAGGACAACAATGACGAAATTTGAACGCATTTTTGACTTATCAGATTATTTTGAACGCGTCTTTAAAATAGTGTTATAATTTTAGGTTTGCTTTTCTGCAGCTTTTGTAGTACGTACTCATGGAATTAATAAGTACTTCGTACGAAGTACTTATTAATTCCACGTACGTACTACATACATACCATAGAGCTTTTCTTGACTCTTCGTGGTTAGTAAGCTATACTGGTTAGTAAGTGGGAATTAAACACAATCTCAGATAAAGGTAAATGGCGGTGTAGTTGTATGCTCACCAGAATACGTTTTTCACATTCGCCTTGTAAATGCCATTACCATAACAATGTTTCATGCATTCTGTCGGCAATATTCTATTCTAAAAATATTGTAGCAATAGAATTCATGAATGAATGACGGTTGCTACACGCTGCGATCCAGTCCTTTTCATTAGATTCAGCTTCTGCGCTATTTATTATAAAAAAATGGCAACATGCTATTTGTCAAAGTCATTTGCTTTCGCGTTGTTTCGTCTGTTAATTTTTTTCTCTAAACTGTGAGGATTGAAAAATGCGAACTTATTTGTATTGATTTTGCCTAAAACTTCTAATTTATATCTTATGTCTATGATGAAGGAGTAGGAGCTTTTGGATGGTTAATAATTTGGCTAAATTTGTACAACGAACATTCGATTGTTCTTTTTGTTGCGATCTTTAAAATGGCTAGTTTTTGCAACGAGTTTGTGTGTTTTCATATAATTAATTTGCTCAATAGATGGTGATTGAAAGTCGCTTGTATATAGAGTAGAAAGTGCGTGTTATGGCTCCTGGGAACAACGAGCGACACCCGGGTCACACGGGCACTATTCCGAAGACAAAAGTGAGAAACAATTGCAATGTGCCTCAAGAAGCTGTGACCCCGACTAGAAGAGACATGGCCACTAATTTGGTATCGGTGAGAATCTCTAAAGAACTCTACTGCTCTCCTTATAGTAACTAACGTAATCGACATTTTTAGTGAAATTGAGTTACTAACATATGTGGAATCAGCGAAACGAGATCTAAAACCCCCCTATAAGCGGTTTTTTAAAATATATTTATTAAGTTTTAATTTAATTGTTAAGCAAAATCAGCATAACTGACATTAAAAAAAAGCTTTTGGTGCCCATATCTCGAAAGTTAGTAAATGCAAATGTGTTAGTCATGACAAGGAGGGCAGTGTACCTGTAATAACTAATTTTTTTCCTAATTAGCTGTTCCAGCAGCATGCATCATTCTATGAGATGAGTTGGACGTACTTAAACAAAAAGGATCCAATCCACATTCACTCACTTTTGAGATATGACAGTTTGAAGTTAAATGTTTCTCACTCTTGTTCTAGTTTCGAAACTTTAATGTCATGTAACTCCAGAGATATTTATTTATGTTTATATGTTGGGATTTTTTTTGCTGATCTAAGAAGTTAGACTTTAGGAACTGTTTGGAACATATAACTCACTAACTCATTTTTTGATAATTTTGTGGATTGGATTCTTTTTGCTTAACTACGTCCAGTTCTGAATCATGCACACTATTGACTTCAAGTAATTGTTAGTTATAAAAAATAAGGGGAAGGACTGTACATTACCATCGCACGATTTGAGGGCTGGGAGGGGGGTGGGGGGGAAGGGGGGAGGGGAGGAAACCCTTCGTGCAAAGTTTCAAAGTTAGGAATTTAATAGTTTTCGAGATATTAATTTTTGAAAATTCGAAAAAAATAACCTCAAAAAATCATGTTTTCGCACCAAAGAGCGGGGTAAACCCCTCCCCCCGAACCCCTAGCGGGAAAAAACCCACCCCCAAACCACCCCCCCCAACTCCACTTCCTGTATTATATGAAAAACTAAATTTAAACCTAAAACCAGGCAAAAACGCAAAATCCTAATTGATGCATACATCAAACAGTAAACAACAACAAACAACATGGCGTTCTTTACGCGTTTCGTTATTTTTTTGCAACAAAAAATAATTGTTCAAAAATAAAAGCTTACATACTAATTATAGTAAATTTCTATGTTAAATTTACAATTACGTATTAATTTGTGCTGTTTAATTCAATACTGCGGAAAATTTTTGAAATAACGCAAAAAAATAAACGCGCGCGGCGTTTCGTTCATTTTTTTTTACGAAAATGTTTATTTTTTTGCGTTATTTAAAAAAAAATACTGCAACAACCAAACGCTGTGCTTTCCTAACCTATAAAACCTGTTTCCTATCATATATTTTCGAATATTTCAATAATTTTTATTATCGAAACTACGAGTTTCCTAAAGCTAATATTTTAGGATTACACTGCTAACTATGTAATCTATTCACCATATTAATTTCAACTCTCAACTCGTGCGATGGTAATGTACAGTTGAGCCAAATAAGGTTTTTATGTATGTGTAACATGATTTTTTGCTATTGTTTTTAAGTGCAATTTATTTATTATGTTCAATAGTCTGTTTATTTGTAAGTACTTTATTTATTTAGCAAATGCCGTGTATAGCTATCATAGGAATACAAAATTACTCCTATTTTAGTGCATGTTAACTTTAAGCATCTTCACAATTTGTATTCTGTAGCTATGCCAAAAATAAATAAACAAATAAAACATATTTAGTTTGAAAATTTGTTGCACATTTTTAAATAACTAACATTGATTTTACAGTTATAATTTATTAACCTATTTTTAAAAAATGTAACTTAATTTATTCATATTTAGTTTCTGTATGCATATTATATGTGTGTTCCTACGTGTATTTTATTTACAATAATAAATACCAATCAAACTTGATTTGTAGGAAGTAAACAAACACAAAAGATTTTATACAGTTGCAAAGTGTGCAACTGTCATTTCTGAAAACTCAAGACTTAGTGTGAAGTTCGTTCACAACCAACCACATGTTGGAATTTATTTTTAGATCATCCAAGTCTGTTACAACTTGGAATCTTGCCAACCAAATTATTTGTCGCATAGTTAACTCTGATCCTACTGATTGCTTAATTTCTTTATTTTTTCTGTTCAAATTGAAATATATCAAATTACTATCTTGAATGTAATTTAAGAGTTGTGCTTGTATTAGGTAGTACAATTTAATTCCCATATGGGAGGTTGTTTTTCTAAATTTAGATCAAAGAAGGTGTGTGTGATGTGGCCTATGAAACAAATTTGTATTGTAAAAACAATTTTACAACTATATATGTTTTACTCATTGATTGTTTCATATTGGAATCTGGTGTACCTATTAAAGTAGCTTTACCATTTGGGACTATACTGGTTTCAGGTTGTGTTCTATTATAAACTTGTACTCAATTTGAGTCATTTAAAAATAGTCCTAACTCTTATAACAAAAAATCAATATATGCAGAGTTTATTTACCTAAACTACAAGTAATACACATGCAGTGGATAAAAACCCCCTCTCTAATTTGGAATGATTAAAAAAAACGCAAAAAACTAAAACAAAATAATTACATTGGTTACTTATAAACATCAAACAATTTCAAAACTTTTTTCTAAATACCATAGTAAACTAATTGCTAGTTACACATCAAAAATATATAAAAAAGTTACAATAATTCCAAGATGTCTGAGGGAGGTGTAATATATATTCTAAATCTAAGTAAAAGTACTCTGCTTATTCCCATTTCTGTTTATAACAGATAAAGAGTAAAAGTGTGATGAAAGTAATAATTTTAGACCTTTTGAACATTAATGTGTTGTGTTTTATAAAATATACCAATTGCAACATGTATCTACTTAAAGTTATATCTGTTTAGGTATCTATTATAATTAATTACAGAACTTAAAGCATTGAATTATAGAACTAAGTACAAATTATGGTTTAAATGGCTCTATCCTTTTTGTTAATAAGGTTTCAAATGAAACCCAACAGGCAAGAATGTTCCCCATAAAATTTTCTATTATTTATTAAATTCTCAGGAATAATGTTCATCAGCATATTTAACATTTTATTTACTTCTAAAATGTATAATGTCCATTCACTATTAATTCCCTATGATTTTTCAGACTTCTCTTGACTGGGTACCGGTATCAGAGTACAATACAAGAGCGAACTATAACCAATCAAGAAAACAGACAAATAACTCGTCAGATCATGAGTTGACAGATTTAGGTAAGTAACATTTTTGTTTTGCATGTTTTAATGGTGTTCTTTCATTAGACATAATTATTTTTTAAATGTAAAACAATACTTTCTTTAACTCTCTTTGTGCTAACTAATATATGAGTACTATCATGATGAACTGTATCTTTTTATAACAATGTGTGGTCAATGTCATTGATAAGCATGTGTCAAACAGATAAAGCTTTCTGTGCCTGCTACATAATGCTATGGAAACATAGATTGTGAATTCAAATTTTTGTGAATTGGGGGCCAAACTCACTAAATGGATCCTAAAAATGATATATACAGGTTGTTATACAGTGTGTTCTTTTTAACTGGGTCCGAAATCCGAAACGGTCTTAGGAACTATTAAGTCTTTTTTTATATATATCATAGTCAGTTCTTTGGTCAAGTGTGAGATATCCATAAAATTGATTAATATGTTTTTAGTGCTGATCGTCTCAGTTTCCTGAAAGGATCATTTACTGTACGAGGAGGAAAAATCAGGACCGCAGAAGTTGGTCTAATTTCATAAGGATAAGGACAATTTCATTGTATCTGCGGAATAGAATCTAAACAGCAAAAGTTGGTCTTATTTAAAAAATATATATTAATTTTGCGTGAAAAAGACTGTTTTATTAAATTTGACCAACATCTGTCATCTTTACATGAAATTGAGTCAATCAATACTGAAAAAAAATATTTTATTCATTTTTGGGGACAACTCATGCTTGACCAATAATTGACTGTGTGAAAATTATATTCACAAAAAAATATGTCATGGTATCTGTGATAGTTTTCCCGTAACTGTCTAATTCCCCTTTACTGTCCTAGTTAAAAAGACTCTAGTTAGTACAGTTAGTTACATATTATTCCCACATTTAGACATAAGTATCCTCAGAGAACTGATTTTTTAAAACTGTTTTGCGGGGCCAAATAACACCGCCACCCCTTCACTGCTTTTAGTGATTCTTTTTACAGCAGTCGTTATTTATGTCGTACATATCCTTAAGTATACGTGCCCCAATGATAAATACACAGTTCAGGAATCCTTCAAGTATTATCATTAAAGAAATTTATTCAATTCTTGTAAAATTGTGTAGTTGTGTAGTTATTGCCACTATGGTCATGGTCAATATGTTAATTGTATTATAATGTAACTATACTCATGCCATAAAGGTCAATTGGTACTCAAAATTTACCATTGAATAGTATTATGATTTTTTTATTGGAATATGTACTTGACCCACAATCATTTGTTGCAAAATAGAACTCCTCTTAAAATGCTGCTATAAGGAGCTCCTTACTATTACTAGAAGTTAAAAAATGAGAAAAGGATAGCTACTTATTACTTCAACATAACCTTATTTTTGTAGACAACTCAGTATCATTCGAGAGTGGATTCGGGAGGTTCGTGCCGGTTCGGCCGCAGCCGCGGGTATTGCCTCTCAACGTTCAGAATCAAAATATAGCATCTGATACAAATGACGAAGGTGCTGGGTCCTCCGCATCAGGACATTCTTTGCACCCTTATGCTCATCAAATGCAAAATGGTAATAAAAATAATTAACGGGTTCTTGTTTTGCATGTTCTGGGTAGTGCACTGATTTAATTTAGTTGCTGCATAGTACAAAAATTCCCTAATTTGAGACCATTATATTATTTTAGGTCTAATCCCACATTCGAACCACGCTGCTGCGGCTGTTATGATAGTAAATCCTACTACACCAAATGCTGTGACTGGGAGTATGTCGCAACCATTTAATGTAAGTTTTTGAAACTCGTAATGTAATAATACCTCACTGTTTTAAAAAGGTACAACACTAATTTACTGAAAGTGAACTGTAACATTTAGTTACAGTTCAGATGATCATGTTAGAACAATGCTCATGCAATAGTCGTTTTTAAAGGTTAACCAGCTAACTCCTAAACTAAATGTGAGTGGGCATTGGGTTCTTTGTAATCATAAAGCTTACGATTGTATATTTAAAAGCATCATATCGTCGCCTTACTTTCTAAAACTCGTATTTTAAAAAACAAAGTAAATGCAAAAAATGCATTGCGTATACGTATTTGCAGGATGATTTCACATCGAATTTCCTTCATATTCACACACTGGCTTTTACCTATTCTTAAAGTAATGAATCCAAATTAACATCCTGGATAAGAAATTTAAAATAAATAGAAATTCTTGCCATCTCTTGAATAATCACTCTTTATGAAATAAATGTTTGAGAAAGTAAGGCGTCGATATGTGCTCCTACAGACACACGTTTCAATATGTATACCTATGTGACAATTTATTTTAAAGTCTGCCAAAATGAACAAAAAAATGTGCAGAGTGATTCTTTCACCTTAATTCCTAGTGATATATTGCAAATCTTCTACTTTTTAGGCGCCAAATCAGAATAGAAGCAATTTAACAAGGAATGTAAACCCGGCCCGTAACAATTTCGAAGGCAACTCTTTGTTAAGTAACAACAACACAACTCCACCCGTATCTAACGCTAGAACTGCTACTAAAACTGTCAATATTATGAATAACATGTATGACCAGGGGCAAGGGGGCTTCAACAATATTAATGAGAATAATCATATTGTGAGTATCAATTTGATCAACTTTGCCTTCTTACCTACAATGGACAGATTTAATACACACGTACTTATTCTTACTTAAAAGGCACATAGAGAATCAGCGCGTACGCTGGGTGAAGCTATAGTGGCTGCATGCCCCGACGCAGCGGCTGTTGAAAGACGCTTAGGTCAAATTCGAGAATACATTCGTGTGACGTCGTCTCTTGTTGACACCATGCGTAATTCCGAGGATGAGGTACGTCTCCCATAGTAGCCGATTTACGTTGGTTACAAAGTAAGTAGGTAAACATCTTGATTAAATTGATTTAAATGTAATTTAGGCTTTTATTGAGCACACAAAGGAGGAATACGATGAGCTGGTACAGATGGTTGAGAAGTTGAAGGAAAGTGAGAAAAAGTTAGAAAGTATGCTGACTGAAAAAGAACCTGATAACATTGAGGTGCCTGCTGAGGAAGCACATGAAAGTAGTACACAAGGTGAGCTACACCTAATTAAAATTGAAAATGACAATACACCTGAGAAAATTTTGAATCAAGATAAATCTAACAATAAAAACAGTGATGTCAACACTACGCTCAAGAAAGTATCTAATATTGAAAATGAACAACTGAATAAAACTTTACATAACACTAAAAGTGAAGAAAACCAACAAGAAAGTAAAATTAATGAACCTTCGATATCCGATAACATACTTCGTTCTTCGGAACACTTGGAGAAAATCGACGAAAAAAACGAAGATGTAGAAGGTGATCTCATAGAAATAAAAGAATTACAATCCACTTGCACAGAAGACCCCAAAAAAGACGATGAACATTTGAATGAAATGCTGAGAAAGAATATTTTGTCTTGCGTTGAAAAGGTGGCTTGTATCGAAGAAATGAAAACAAAAACCAGAGACAGCAGTAGCGCCGAAGATCAGGTTTCTGTCTGTTGAAGTTTGCTATCGAGAGTGTGGCTCTGTCTGTTAAATTCTGAATCAACCTAAAGCATGACTAGTTGCAGACCGAGAAAGTAACCATCTTCGTAATAACATTGCTGTGACGAATCTTCGACAAGCATTAGATACTGCTACAAAGAATCGGCTTACTGTGTTTGATTGGAATATTAGATGATGCTATTTTATCGTTATCGGAAAGTAGACATTTGGAATCGAAATGCTTACTTTCGGTTCCGAAACAAATAGCAGTGTGTGTGATTATTTTACATCTCACCTTGTCTAACATTAGCTGTTTCTGTGCTGATTTCCTCTGAACATTTTCACTGTTACCTACCTTTATTAGTGTTTATTGTTGTGACCTTAGTGAGAAAACATATTATTTAAACTTAGAGTAAAATTATAGTATTTTCTTAGCAGGATGTTATAGTTCGGCCAGTGTCGGTGCAGAGCAATGGTTCAGCGTATAGTGAAAATGAGCTTTGGCAGAATGAGATAAAAAATAAAATGGAAATGTCTTCAATGCGTTTGGCTGCATTGAAGCAGCAACAGAAAAGACTGCTGAAGTATCAGGTTAGCAACATTTTACGATTAATGTTATGTGATTTGTGTAAGGAAGAGAAATATCATAAATATGCTCAATTTATTTTTAGGAGGAAGCTAAGCAGCAACTAGACGAAATGAACAGAGAGAGGCAATCGCAGGAGTTGCATCCTGCAACATCACATGACAATTTTGCAAACATGCAGGTAAACTTAATTTTTACAACCTCGTACAGAAACTACCGTCTATTTTACATTACGAACATTTTCTGGTTCGTACTGGTTTATCACAGATATGTATCACTGAGTATGCTTTTACTCATGACTTAAATAAATTTCCAGACTCAAACATTTGGCGGTAACTTTCACCATCCGAACCGCATGTATGCAGCTAATCAAATAGGCGTCGCTACGACTCTACCACACTCTTCGGAGGCTATGCATGTACAACAGAACTTGAGTAATATTGAAAACGACCATGGGCATGCGGTTCACGCTGTCCATAATCAGGATGAAAGATTTTCACACCGAGAAGCAAATATTGCTAGTAGTGAGGTAAATGTTCTTTGTTAAGTTGTCGTAGTCAAATATAATATTAGAAATTATACATAATTAGAACAATATAGGCATAAAAGCTGAACATGTGTGTGAGAAATTATAAGTTACGCGCAATGTTTCTGTACATAATCTGGAGCACTGACAATCAAGGCGATATTAACTCTTACTAGCTTAAGTAGGCTCTTGTTTTCAGATTGAGTTCGAAGAAGTGTATTTTGTAGTGCTGTTAAATGGAAACCAATTGTTTTAATAGGAAGCGGCAGGCGGTGGCCGTGATAGTGATGGTGAAGAAGACGAAGGTTTGTTGGGCGAAAGAGCTCGGCTGCTGCAGATGAAACTGCGCGAGTTGCAACTCAAGAAACAACACATGGAGAGCTTGGTAAGATATCTGGAAATGTCCTCATTTATACGGCTCCTCCTACGTAAAGTATCGTATGTCGAAATTGCCAAGAGTGGTCGTATATTCTTTGTAAAGCGTAATTTCAGGCACCCAAATTTGATAATTGTAAATCATCTCAGTTACGTGTCGATAGATTGACAATGTCAGGATTTTGTATAGTTGGTACTTTGCCTTTCATGCAGAGTCGATGGCGTAGTCTACTAATTACTTCTAAAATTTATGACAAAAAAAAAATACATTTAATTTGAAAATTCAATTGCTATACTTCGTTTCAATCCATTTTCAACAAATGTAAACAAACAAGTCACTGACAAGACCATAGACAGTTTAGTGATGATCAATTATAATGCCAACTACAAATCGATTAGTTAATTGAATTAATCGATTTGTCTAATTGAGTCATACTAGCGGTATTCCCCACATAACCTATATAAGTATTTGATTTATATGATATGATATAGAAGTTATTTGAAATTTCCGAAATCTTAATTTTAAGCCCTCCTTCGAATCCTTACACTTAGATGCTCGTTCGATTGCAATTGAAATATTCGTATTACTAATCGATTACAAAAACTTAAATTGGTTGAACCCAATTTTTTTTTCGTACAGCACTATGCGACCTTAGACAAATCATAGATGTATAGATGAAAAATAACCTCACTTTTGGACTACCATTTTTCAAATACAATTTTACGATGCTATTCAAATAACTATTGTTGGCAAATGTGATGATATATCCAGTCGAAATCTTCTAAATATACGTGAAACTGTTACTTATTCGATTTATTGAGTGATTGTCTTAGAATTTTAACCAAATAGGGGCCTTACCATGAACTCTTGTTACGATTCAGTTTAGGACCTAAAATGATTCGTTGTGAGACAGTGCTACATGAAGTGTCATGGCAATCGTCATCCTGCTTTTCTGTCGTTACGAACCTATACTGAATTGTAATAAGAGTTCATGGTAAGGCCCCTGGTTTGTTTACTTTTTGTTGAACAGACTGTAGTTAAACGAGATAAAAATTAAAATAATTTCCATGGTAGTTTAGTAAGGCAACATCGATTGTTAGTGATTGAGTGAATGAACGCAATTAGTGCCATTCCACTGACATTCTGTTGAGATTCAACTGCCATTGCAACTAGATTTTAGCTGAATAATTGTAATATGATCCAGTGGAGTCTCATTGTAATTACAATAACCAGTGGTTTCAAGAAACGAAAAACTTTCTGAAAATGGAAAAGGAAATTTTAATTTCATTAAGAAAAGTACGCGAGTGCACGTCTTCATGTATATTAAACTGTATTATGTACTATGTACTACAAAATTTTTTTTTATGAACAAATGTAACTTACAATTTGAATTCGATTTAAAATGGAAGGGTCGATATTTGCCCAATGTAGCATGTTATGGGTTGAAATGCATTTTATTTTCTTCTCCGATAAGGGTGATTCCGTCTTATATCTAGACAGCGCTGATCAATATCCTGGAAGTAGTTTATATATGTAAATGGCCGTGAATATCAATTGCATCCTCTTTAATATAAATTATAAGAAGTCCGTTTTTTCCTTGTAATATTATTCGAAGTTCGATCATGAGCTAATATTGTTTTCTGAGCTTTGTTTGCTGTGTGTTACAAACTAATTTATAAATTAACGCTTCCTAATATGGTTAGATGGCGCTAATCCTAAACAAAATAAATGAATGCCGGCTGTATCCTTTAAATACTATGAAATAAGCGCCATCTAGTTGATTTCTTTGTTATCACTAGAAATTAGAGTAGCTTTGATAAATTGCAGCTTGTCAATGTAAAACAAATTGCTGACATAAATAGCCATTTCGTACTCGTGGCGACATCTAGTGTACCAATAGGGACTAAATTCCCGACTATGCTGTCTTGTATCGCGATTAGCAGTCCCCATGAGTTATTGGCACATTATTAGCATGGTACGTCGATTTTTGTCTGTGTCTGGATAACTGAAAACAATATACTTTATCGCATCCTGGCCTTTACTATATCGATAGACTGCGTAAAACACTTGACAATTTCACATGAAGAAGTTACATTTAGTGATGGCAATAACGGCCACTTGTCAATAATTAATTATTTGTTAGTGTAATACACCACCTCTAGTTACTAATATTTTACGCAGGAGCTTGTAACAGATGTC